GAATGACATCGTCACACACTGTACACAGAGCTTTACCGGCGACATCGAGCTTTTTCACGAAATCCGACACAAGCACAATGTGCCTCTTTACTGTTTCCTACTGGGGACACCGTCAGCTTTCTATCCAACCAGTCCCATCGAAACGTGTTTTTCAGTTCCGCATCTATGTGACGCACTTTAGCTTCGTTGCGAGTCCCGATAACATTCGGCATTCGCGAGAAGCTGATTATAATTCCACTAGCAATCGTGAGGCATGGAAAACCATTCACATAAATGGTGAAATATTACAACACAATTATTTCAAAGAATACATTCAGAGACGTATTATACTGACATTTTGTTGAATTCAGTTTAAAAATACACTATATTGTATCGCTCTCACTGAAATACATTTCCAAATATTTCTCTTCCATGGCTCTCTAAGTCAAAAAGGTTCCCAACCCCTGCTCTAAATTGTCCCGAGGTGTGACTGTGAGCGCGAACGGTTGTTCATCTATGTGTGCCCTGCAATTGGCTGGCAACCAGTTCAGGGTGTCCCCCGTCTACTGCCCGAAGACAGCTGGGAATGGCTCCAGCACCCACCCCCCCGAGGATGAAACGGATCGGAAAATGGATGGATGAATTTGACAATAAACTTGTACTTGAACTTGATATGTATAGACATATGTATCGGAGTGACACATTAAGTTTATTAAATTATGACGGAAGTGACGCAACAGCGCACAGTATGGCACCAGCTTCCCGCCGTAGTTCAGGCAGAACAACCAGGGAAGTCACAAGGTAAGTCGCATTTTATTGATGGTCCGGATTCATTTCTGATTTAATGACAATATTTCACTTTGTTTTCACTTTTTCTATGCTGCGATGTATTTCATTAGTCCCCTGATTTGTCCCGAGTCCAAATTGCTTTTTGTGTTGTTATTTAAGTTTTGTCGAATGGAAGTTTTTACCCGTTGAGTTAATTAATTTCATGACAATATTTCACTTTGTTTTCCCTTTTTCGATGCTGCGATGTATTTCATTAGTCCCCTGATTTGTCCCGAGTCCAAATTGCTTTTTGTGTTGTTATTTAAGTTTTGTCGAATGGAAGTTTTTACCCGTTGAGTTAATAGTGCTTTTCTGATGCTCAGTTATGTCCGAGACCCCAATGCGACTTCACCATTCTTCCTGCCATGCTGTTTTTCAGTAATAAAAAGAGAGAAAAAGCCACATCCCAGTGTCTGGTCTTATTGAGGCGGCAGAGACGTGGAGCTCGAGACCGTCACAGTTGTTACCCATGTCACACATATACACACACACTGCGTAAAAGAAAGACAGCAAATGAAGGATGTTCAGAAAGCTGACGAAACAAGTGAGACGAACAGCGTGACAGTACCTAATCTGTGAAGAACAATTCTTGGCTGCGTCCTGTGAATGGCGTCCAGCAGTTGACGTTGTCCCTTGTGGTCCTCTTTTTCTTTACAAAGTTCCTCCTCGTATTCTGATGTCCTTCTTGCAAACATAGTGCGAAAATTGCAACAACAAAGAAAGCTTACGAAACAAGTGAGACGAACAGCGTAACCCAACCTAATCTGTGAAGAACAACTCTTGGCTGCATCCTGCGAATGGCGTCCAGCAGTTGACGTTGTCCCTTGTGGTCCTCTTTTTCTTCACAGAGTTCCTCCTCGTACACTGCTGTCTTTCTTGCGCACATTTTCACACGAAAATTACAACACTTTACGCTTACGATCTCTGCGGAGCTCTGTGTTGAGCACGAGCGCCTCTCCGTTAGATGCTAGCAAGCTAAACGAAGCTAAGCTAGGCCGAGACATATCGAGGTTCAACGAGACGACTTCAATCCAACACAAAGATTCAACGAAATATGTTTTAGCACAGCGAAGAGATGGTGGACGCCCCGGGTGGAGGTTTAAGCACGTTGACTACAAAATTCTGGAGGATTTTGCAGAGGGTGTTAATCCCTCCATGGTTCATGAATGGGGGGTCGAAGCGCGTGTTGATGACGTCAGTCGTGACGTTTGAAGCCCCGCGAAGGGGGTGTACCATGTGACTGATTCAGGAAATGATACGTAAGGTTCGAGTGTTGTTCGAAATAAAAGCGAGAAAGAAACACCATGGATTCCCCTTCATACCAACTTGCTGTCACATATCTATGCACCCCTGCTTCATCAGTACCATCTGAAAGAGTTTTTTCAAAAGCAGGTGAAATTCTCTGCAAAAAAAAAAAAGAAACCGCCTGAGTCCAAAAACTTTGCATAAAATATTGTTTTTAAATAAAAACGAATAAGCACTTTATTTTACCTCCTAATTTCACATTTTCACTTGTT